AGGGGGGCGCTGAAGGCGCCGGAGTTGCGGGTGCCTCTTGGCTCCGCCCATTGCGGGAGGAGGGGCCACAACGTCCCTCCTGGGCCTCGCGTTCCCTGGAGTCTTTCTCACCTCTCCTTTTTCTATTATAATCTTTTCTTGGTCTATGCTCTTCCTCTGAGTCTAAAGATTCTGTATCTGAGGAAGAGGGAGCTACTTTTAACTTCTCTAACTCCGATATCGGGTAAAGGGAAGATTTTTTCTCTTGACTATGGCCATTTTTATCGTTTTTCTCATTTTTCTTGACTCCCTTTTCTTGTTTAAGTTTGGTACCAACTCTCTCCTCCCGCTCTGTTTCTGAGAGGCTATCTTGGGCTAATTGAAGGCAATCTCGACCCTGAGTCACAGCTTCTTTGCACCGGTCATCTTCTAAACATGCACGAATCAATCTCCATAGTGGCATAACTCCCGGACTCAAACGGTCACGCTCCTTAGCTCTCTGTAAATCTTTACCGAGTTTCTCCCAGGACCGCGGAGTCAATGATCCGGAAACCACATACCAGGGCGCATGACGGTCTACTTCTTTGATAAAGCCTTCCAGTGTGCGCTCATTAATCTTTAAGTTGCGCGCCTTCAAAACTGCCTGTAAAGGCTTAATCAAGGAAGTCTGCGCACCCATGTCTCAGGGTTAAATTCCTCAAGCCCAGTAACGCCTCCCTCTCAGAGCTCCTTACCTATTTATGGCCGCGGTTCTGACTTCTCCCCATATGGCACGGGGGGCCTTCCTCTAGGTCCCGAAATTTCCCGGGTTTTCGGCACCAGTTGTCACGCCCACGCTCCTATCGACCCGCAATAAGAGGCAGACGCGAGTGAAGTCTTCCGCGGTAGTCTTTATTGTGCACACCAAGATGATGAAGAGGAAGGCCCCGACCCAGCTCGTGCTCTCGCTCTTATCGGGGATGGCTCCGCCCAAGTGGCGGCTTATTGGTGAGCCTCTAGACCACGCGCCAATCCTGCAGTTTGGATAGGGCAAGAGGCCTGTGCACGCGCTGATCACGCCGCTGTTCACGCGTCAGCCCTCAGCGCATGTGCAAGCGCCTGCGCAATACTCTCTAATGTACGTGACAGGAGCTACTCCTGCTGACGTGTTTATTTCCGCCAGGCGCCATCTTTAGGCCACCGCGTGTGGCAATCAACATCACCTCGTGTGGCAATCAACACTCGTGTTGCACTCGCCCTGGGATCCCAGATGGTCGCCGGTTCTAATCCCGGTGGCCCTGCTTCCCATCCAGCTCCCTGCTTGTGGCCTGGGAAAGCAGTGGAGGACGGCCCAAAGCCTTGGAACCCTGCACCCGCGTGGGAAACCTGGAAGAGCTCCTGGTTTTGGATCGGCACAGCACCGGCCGTTGTGCTCACTTGGGGAGTGAACCATTGGACGAAAGATCTTCCTCTCTGTCTCTCCTCCTCTCTGCATATCCGCCTTTCCAATAAAAATAAATAAATCTTAAAAAAAAAGAAAGAAATGGACCTCCCCGACCTTGCCTTCAGTCTTAAGTCCACCCCACAGTGCATGAGCATTTATCTTCAAAAGCCAGTCTGCTTTGTGCTGCCAGGAATTCCCCATTGCCCGCCACAGCAAAAGCACGAACTCCTGGATCTTGTATTCCAGCCCCACCACGTTCTAATTCCTAACCAGCTTCTCAGACCCTGGTCTCCCTTCACCCTCAACTGCCAAATGATCCGCAGTCATACCAGGCAGCCTCACAGCCCATGCCTGTCCTTCAGCTAGTCCCTGCACTTGAGATGACCTCCTTTTACCCTCCTTATCCATTATCTAGAATTTCATTTATCCTTCAAAAAGCAGCTCAAATGTCACCTCTTCTAATACTTTCTCTAACTCCCCTGAGGGTGTTTGGGTTGCTTATAGATAGCCCAGCTCTGAAGTCCCTATTGCACAATTCCCATAATGTTTTGAGTCCTCCCTCCAACCCCCCAACTTTTTTTTTTTAATTCCTTCAAATTAGACATGGGATCTGACCATTTCTTAAACATCTCCCAAATCTGACCCCTGTTCCACCTCTTACTGTTATAATCTCAGCCACCGCCACACCTCACCCCACACCAGGAACCAGCCCCCAGCCCGCTCCCATGTCGCCAGCCAGCCAGGCTTTACTAATGTGAAGTCTCATCCCTCCTCTACCACTAACCCACTGCTGCTCTTCCTTTTCTGCCTCGAAGAAGCCCAAAGCCCTTGCTCACGCCAGTCCCTGCCTTCCTCTGCAGCTCCATCTCCACCACCTTCCCCCTGTGTCTCACGTCCACGCCCCACCCCCCCTTGTCTGCTTGGTTCTGCCAAGCTCATCCCTCCTTTGGACCTCCTAACATCTCCCTGCTGGGGAAGCTCCTCCCCCAGATACAGCCACGATTTGCTCCTTTCCTTCATTCCGGTTTCTGCTCAGATGTTCCCTCTGCCAGAGAGGCTTGGTCCCTGGTTGCTGTCTAAAATAGCACCCTCCAGGCAGGCATTGAGCACAGCAGTGAAGACTCCGCCACTCTAGTCTGGGGTGCCTGTGGGCAAGTCCCAGCTTCCTGCTTCTATGGACCCTGGGAAGCAGCAGCTGATGGCTCAGCCAGTTAGGCCCCTGCTGCCCACCTGGGAGACCCAGATGGCGTTCCAGGTGCCTAGCTTCGGCTTAACCCAGCCCTGACTTGTGGACATTTAGGAAGTAAACCAGCAAATGCAATATCTATTTCTGCCTCTCTCTCTGTCTTTCAAATAAATTAATTAAATTATATCACATCATTTTTTAAAGATTTATTTTATTGCAGAGTCGGATATACAGAGAGAAGGAGAGACAGAGAGGAAGATCTTCTTGGGTCTCCCATGTGGGTGCAGGGTCCCAAGGCTTTGGGCCATCTTCAACTGCTTCCCTATGCCACAAGCAGGGAGCTAGATGGGAAGCGGGGCCACTTGGACACAAACTAGCGCCCATATGGGATCCTGGCACATGCAAGCTGAGGACTTTTACCACTAGGCTACTACACCAGGCCCAAAATTACATCCTTAATTAAGCCCTACCCTCTTACCTGACTTATTTCTCTGGGAAGGAAGCGGGCACTAAAGACCACTAGCTTCTCACTAATTCATTTTTCACGTGTGTAACGTTATTTGTTGCTGAGAATACAGACTGCATTTTGTTTGCTACCATGTCCTTGGTACTTAGAACATCACCTGGCAAATAACATTCATCCGCGTATTTGCTGACAAATCTCTGCATCCCAGATGCCTGACCCAGCACCTACTTGCATTAAGTACTTGTTCGATAAATGACAGAATGAACATATTGTACCAATGAAACGGCATTCTGGTGTAAATACAGCATGATCCTGGGTAGGGCCACAGGTGTTTTGTCCATTTGCTCCGTATAGTTTTGATTAACTTACTTCAGTCATCATACCTGATAGAACCAAGTCCTTCTTTCTATTTATTTATTATTTATTTATTTTTAGGAATGAGTTGCTGACAGCGGTCTGGTCCGGGAATATTTAGGGGATTCCAGAAAGGTCACCAGGAATGGCACAGGAATCTGCAGAAGGTACCTTATCTCCTGTGATTTAGAACAGGTGTCCAGTTAGATGTTAATCCCACCAAACACTGACGGGGCAGGAAGCTGGCTGACCTCCTGCTGTGGAGTAGACCCCGCAGGGAGCCTGTGGGGCACCCGAGGTGGGGGTACCCCAAGCTGCCCCACTTTCTGCACTTTAGGAACCTGTGAGACTCTGACAGGATGCTCAGAGGGAACAGTCTGCTGTATTTCCTATTTCACTGTGGTTTCTGGGCAGTCACTTTCCCAGCCCATCCCTTTGTTCTAAACTCCCTCCCTGCACGTGGGTATGTAAAAGAAGCCATCAGGGCAGGAGAACAGAGAGCCCTGGGTGTGAGTGAGGAGTGAGATGGCACTCGATCCATCTGTCCTTCTCATGAGTCTAGGCACTGACCAGGTTGTGCATGGCACCAGGGCCAGCGCCTAAAACAGAGAGAACCTGGGGTGCAGTCGCAGGCATTCCATCTGAAAACAACCGAGTTAGATGGGGCGTTGTGAGCTGCACAAGGCCAGGGAACTGGCTCCAACCACATGCGTGCCCCATTGTCCGCCCCATTGTCCTCCCCGACCACGACTTGAGCTCAGCTCCTTCTGTGACTGGTGTCAACTGATAACAAGGAGTTAGCGATGACTGTCATGGGCATTTGAGACTGGAGGAAAGCAAGGCTCAGAGAGGTCCCTGACATTTGCCCAGGCTACCCAGATGGCAAACCGCAAAGCTGGGATTTGAGATTTACACTGTGTGACTCCCTGGCTGCCTCCCAAGAGCGGTGTCCATTCTAGCGTCCAACAGGCAATGAAGGTGAGCAGAGGGGTGGAGGAACGACAAATGGGTTCTCTCTCTCTGAGCAATGGGCATCACCAGGCACGGTCCAGACAGGTGCGGCAGCCAGCTGCCACCGGGCTTCTGCTCTGAAATTCATGTGGCTGACCTACCAGGGTGGTGCATACCTCTGGGAAGGGACGGAGGGGTTTCGTATAGAGTGGCGCCTTCCCTTCCGGGCCAAGCTGGCGCTGCGTTTTTGTCGTAGAGCGCCTTCATCCTCCTCCTCCTCCTCGGGACTCTGCCTCCCGGCGCATCATCTCTCGCGCTCCTTGCCAAAGTTGTACCCTCTGGGGAGTGCAGCCTGCCTACGTTTCTGGAGGTTCCGGGGCACCGTAGGGGGCTCCAACCAGGCTTGGCGAGGGGCACTGCGGGCGCGCCCAGGGTCTCCGCCTCTTTAGGGCCCTTCGCCAAGCCCCTTTCCTCGCGTTCCCAGCTCCGCGCCGCCGCAGCGCCCCGCTCGCCACCAGGGGCCGCCCGGAAGCGGGACTCCCCGGGCGCGGGGCGGGGCGAGGGGCGGGACGCAGCGGTACCTGGGCCGGCCGGGAGTCGGGGGTGGGCACTCGGGGGACAGCGGCAATCCCCCCTCCCCCAGATCTGCACCGTCGGCCGCCGGGAGCTCAGGGCTCCGGGCGTAGAGGCTGCGCTGTCACATGGGCGGCGGCGACGGGGCCGCATTTAAGCGGCCGGGCGACGGCGCCCGCCTCCAGCGCGTCCTCGGGCTCGGCTCCCGCCGGGTGCCCCGCTCCCTGCCCGCCGGGGGGCCCGCGCCGCGCCGCACCGCGCCGCCCCCGCCGGGCCATGCGAGCGCGGGCCCCGCCGCGATGAGCTCGCACATCGCCAAAAGCGAGTCCAAGACGTCGCTGCTGAAGGCGGCGGCGGCGGCGGCGGCGAGCGGGGGCAGCCGGGCTCCCCGCCACGGCCCTGCCCGGGACCCGGGGCTGCCCGGCCGCCGGCTGACCGGCGCCTGCCCGAGTACGCCGCCGCCGTCCGGGGACCCCAGTTCACGAAGGCCCCTGTGCCGACCCGCGCCGCGGGAGGAGGGCACGCGGGGGAGCCGGCGTGGGCTCCCTCCAGCGCACTGCAGGCCCCGGGAGGCGCTGCCGGCCGCGGCGTCCCGACCTCCGCCGCCGTCGCCGCTGCCGCTGGCCCGCGGGCGGGATGGGGAGGGACGGGGGCTGTCTCCGGCGCTCGGCCTCCGGGGCTCTCCGCGAGTCCCGGGCCGCGGGGACTCGGCTCCAGCCGCCGTGTCCGAGGCAGACCCGTTCCTCCACCGGCTGCGCCCCATGCTCAGCTCCGCCTTCGGCCAGGTAAGGGCCGCGCCTCCTGCTCGCGCTCCCGGGAAAGGCGCTCGGGACCCTGCAGCGGCCGCGCATCCTCCGGGGCCCTGGGTCAAGCCTCGGCTCACCCGGTCCTTCCTGGCCCGCCTCCCTTGCGGGCGCCGCTCCGCCGCCGTGCCTGATTCAGCACCCTGTGCGCTGTCCACGTTCCGCTCCCGGGCCTCTCGCGGCGAGTCACCGTCACCCAGCCGCCCTCACACCTGCGGAACTGACCCGCCCTGGTAGGAAGCGACCTCCACGACTCCTCTGGGGATTTGCTGGGACTGAGAGGGGCGTCGGAACAGGTGGCGCCAAATCCCTCCCCTGGCCTCTGGGATGCAGCCCAAGAGGGGTGTCAAGAGAGAGAGTCAGGACACAGGACCCTGATGGGGGGCGAGCGCGAGCCGTGGCCATTACCTACGGTACTCCCAGAGGCCTGGGAAAAGTTAACAGCTTGAAAACCGTGAAGATGGGAATCAGTGTCAGAACCTGGCTCACACTGGGGCTTCCCGGTGTTTTGGGGCGGGGGCGGGGGGGATGGTCACCTGAGCGATGCCTTTAGGATGGCAGTTGGACAGTGGCTGACTGAGAGGATGTGGAATGATAGCCCCAGAATGCCAGCCTGAGTTGGAGTGCCTTCCAGGGTCAGAAAGGCCGCCATGCATTCACCAGTGGCTTCCCGGTGGCTTGGCACCTGCCCTTGAAGAGCTGGAGTGTATGTGGTTAAACCCAGGGCGACAGTCTGGGGCCAGGCCACAGCCAGGATTTCCACAGCTCCCAGTGCCGGGCACAGTGTACAGTCCTTCCTGCAGCAACCTCAGAGCGTAAACTGCAGGGGCCAGATCAGGGTACTGGTGTGGCTGGCTGCAGAAGATTGTAGTAGGCTGTGGCGTTACGAGCCGTCTCAGGCTCCTGGTTTGCCACCCTGGGTCAGAATCCCAAGGAGGCCATGCATGTGTTTGGCTTCAGATCTGTACTTTCCCTTAAAAAAAAAAAAAATTCACTACTCTGTACTGGCTGATGCCGTGGCAGTCTGACATGAAGGCGGCTGCACATGAATTCAGGTGGCATGGGGCTGCTGTGTAGTGTGAGAGGGCAGCGTGTGTATGGCTTTGTTGCTGCAGGGAGCCCTTGTTAGCTGAGTGAGCTGGAGAGAGTTCCCCGCCAGCAGAGATCTGGACGCAGAGCTGTGAGTGTGGCAGCATGTCGAGAGGAAGTGTGCGGCGGCGGCTTTGTGTGTCAGCGTGTCGGGACAACAGGGCTCTGTGAATGAGGGCCGGGGTGCACCACGAGTGCTGTGGTGGCAAGTGGGTGAGGGCAGTTCATTCGTTCGTCGGCTGTTTCCTGACCACTTGTTTTGTCCAGGCTTTTACTGCACAGTAGAGAGACTAATGAACAGGTAACATGAGTTCTCGTTCTTGAGCCTGTGGTGTGGCAGTGTGGAAGTCACACAGTCACCCATTCTCCTGCTTCTCCAGTTTGCTGGGCAGCTGACTTTCCCGTTTCTTTCCACTCTTGCAAATGGTACCTTCCTGTGCCCCATCTCAGCTCAGTGACGTGTTCTTGCCCCTCCTTTTCACCCAGCCACGAAGGGAAGGCCGTCTCCCAGCCCAGGGTTCTGAAATGTCATCGGAGCCACCCGAGTCAGGAGGCTCTGGAAGGTCCCATCAAATATTGACCAGCTCTTCCCTCCGGAAGTGCCTGCCTCCAGAGCTGCAGGCTGCTTTTCCCCAACCCTGCGTGGCAGGCTCCAGGCTTCCTGCTCCAGCAGCGACGGCCACAACAGCCCAGAGTTGGGACTTTGGTGTCAGTTGCCGTCAGTCTCCTTCTCTCTGTCCCCAGACTTCTGTCGTTAAAGACAGGATTGGAACCACCAGAAGAAATGTGAGATTCTGAATGCAACAACTTTTTTGGGTAGAATTGTCTTAGAGCAAATTAGAGCCCCTGTAAAATGTATGTGTGTAAGGGTACTTCCTCACAGCGATATATGGCTGTGTATGTACACATAAACATATATAAATGCATTTGTGTACAGGAATACACATACTTGGGTGTATACATATTTACAAATATGTATTTAAAGTTTTCCATTGGCACGTGATAATCATACGTATATGTGGATTATAGTGTGACTTAAAAAATAATTTATTCATTTTTATTTAAAAGAGAAGGAGAGACCGAGATCTTCCCTCCCCTGGTTCACTTCCCAAGTGGCTGCAGTGGCTAGAGCTGGGCCTGTCCGAAGCTGGAAGTAGGAGCTTCCTCTAAGCCTGCCATGTGTGTGCGAAGGCCCAAGCACTTAAGACATCTTCTGCTGCCTTCTGCCACTAGCAGAGAGCTGGATCAGAACTGGAGGAGCTGGGACATAAACTGATGCCTGCATGGGATGCTGGCCCCACAGACAGAAGCTTAACCTACTTATAGGATGGTGTTGGCTTCACGTTGTGACTTTTTTTTTTTAAGATTTATTTATTTTTATTTTCAAGTCAGATATACAGAGAGGAGGAGAGACAGAGATAAAGATCTTCTATTCGCCAATTCATTCCCCAAGCAGCTGCAATGGCTAGAGCTGAGCCGATCCTAAGCCAGGAGCTAGGAGCCTCCTCCAGGTCTCCCACATGGGTGCAGGGTCCCAATGCTTTGGGCCATCCTCGACTGTTTTCCCAGCCATAGGCAGGGAGCTGGATGGGAAGTGGGGCCACTGGGATTAGAACCAGAGCCCATCTGGGATCCTGGTGCGTGCAAGATGAGGACTTCAGCCACTAGGCTACTGTGCCGGGCCCACATTGTGACATTTTAATACCAGTATACAGAAAATGTATTTCCTGCTTTCCAAGTTCCATTTTTAAAATCTTAAATGACTACCTTAACCTCATTAAGTACCTTTCTTTACTGTAATATAGGCATAACCACAGTACTTCAACTTTGTGATTGAGAGACTAAGGAAGACATGGAGGTACATATTGAGGTTGGCCTTGTACTGTTAGATACCATTGTCTTTGCTCTTGTTGTTGGTTAGCTACCAGGGGCTTCAGTTTCCTGTTGGTAGCACAGGCAGTTAGGACCAGGGTTCAGGGAGGCGGTGAAGGCACCCAGACAGAACTTTGCTTTGGGGGAAACCGAAAGTGAGGTTCTCCCAGTGGCCTCCTGGAGCATCCTTCTTGCCTGCAGGGGTGTGTGTGGGTCTCAAGTCCAAGGCCTCAAGTTGGGGCTTGGATGTTAGCAGCCCTGCTACTTCCTAGCTCTATGACCTTGAGCAGAGTAGCCTCTCTCTCCTGTCTCCCTGTAATCTTGGCTTATTCATTTAGAGATGAGATTGACCAAAACCACCTTGCAGAATTGTTACGAGGCTCACACAAGACGATTATCTACATACGTGCTTCAAGGTGTGTGGTGGCAGTGAGGCACCATTCAGTAGTGTCTTAGCTGCTATTAATAGCGTGAAGGCCTAAGTGAAGACCAATGTAAGGCACGTTGAATGCTACCTGTGAGCCAGGTGAGGAAGGCTATTGAAGAACAGAGCTGGGCCCAGTGTGATAGCGTAGTGGTGAAAGTCCTCGTGTTGCACACACCGGTGTCCCATATGGGCGCTGGTTCTAATCCTGGAGGCCCCGCTTCCCATCCAGCTCCCTGCTTGTGGCCTGGGAAAGCAGTCAAGGATGGCCCAAAGCCTTGGGACCCTGCACCTGCGTGGGAGACCTGGAGGAAGTTCCTGGCTCCTGGCTTAGGATTGGCATAGCATCGGCGTTGCACTCACTTGGGGAGTGAACTATTGGACGGAAGATCTTCCTCTCTGTCTCTCCTCCTCTCTGCATATCCGCCTTTCCAAGAAAAATAAATAATTTTTTCTTTTTAAAAAAGAACAGAGCTGACCACTGCCAACCCAGCTTCTTGCTGGTATACCTGGAGAAACAATAGGCTGTGGGCTCCTGCACCCATGCAGGAGATCCGGAAGAAGGTTTTGGCTCGTTGCTGCAAGCCTGGCCAAGCCCTGGCCAACGTGGCCATTTGGGGGAATGAACCAGCAGAAGGCAAACCCCTGTGTCGTTCTCCCTTCTGTAAGTGTCTTTCAAATGAATAAATCTTTTTTTTTTTAAGAGCTGAATGCCAAAGGACCTTTGCTCGTCCTCTTGTCGTGGACAGCTAAACACGTGCCATCCAGCTGCCTGGAGAAAAGCCGTGTTGTCAGAAATTAAGTCTGAGTGACCGGGGGCTTTGAGTCCTGCAAGACTGTTTTATAGACAGGCTCTCTGCTTCTTGCTTTAACCTTGAGGGGAGACAACCCTGGCAGAGGATACAAGTGCAAATTAAAGCCACAGCTCTGCCCTGTCCTCCCATGTTCCCAGTCCTGGGGGGCATCTCCATTCCCATACCGCTTAATGGATGGCTGGATCATGGCAATTTGTTTTATTTTCTCTCATTTGAAAAACAAAGAGACAGTAATCTCCTATCCACTGGTCACTTACCCAAATACCTGCAACATCCCAGGCTAGGCCAGGCTGGAGCCAGGGGCTTGGAACTCACACTGGGACACTCCATCGGATGGCATGGACCCAAGTCCTTGAGCCATATGCCACCCGGGATATGCAATTAGCCGGAGATACGAACCGGAAGCAGACTGGTGGAATAGGACTCAGATACTTCCGATAGGGGGTGCGCGTCTCCCAAGGAGTGTGCCAAGTGTGTACTCTGGATCGTAACAGTCGATGTGCGAAGGAATGCATGGCATCACCAGCTGCTGGACTTGGGAGTTTAGTTTTGACTTAGATGGGGAGAGGGACCTTGATGGTTTGGGTCACACTAGGCCTGTGTATATTCCTCACTCCTGCCCCAGCCCAGCGCCTTTCCCCCTAGGGCCCGAGGAGGTCACTGTAGGTGATGGGGGTGGCTAGGTCAGCTGGGCAGAAGCCCTCCAGGCTGTCTACCTTCACCTCCAGCTGTTTCAAGTACTGGAGACCTGAGGAAGATCCCTACACCTTGGGGGTGTCGGG